TGTGTGTGTGTGTGTATCTATGTGTAATTAAATGTTTTCTTCACGATTATATTATATTTTCTTGTGCATAAAGTTGTCTTTTAATTAATATTTTCTAATGATATGAAAATAAAAAATTTAAAATTAAGATATAATTTTATTTTTTCACATATTTTTAATAATACATATTTTTAATAATTCAAAATTTTCTAAAAAATTATAGTTTACTTTAATAAAAAAATAAATGCAGAAAAGAGATGTCGCTATTTTTTACATATTTGTAATATATGTGGAAAATTAATGTCTAAAAGGAGTATAGAAAATTGGGAAAATTTTGTGGTACAAAATCAATCGTCATGAAACTTGATACAGACATAATATGAGATAAAATATGAAGAGACCTAATCAAAATCGAATGGCTGATTGAGTGGATCCTAATCAAAAACTAAAAAATTGATCTGATTGGTCGTATGACGACAGTACCCGTTTGTTACTCATAAATATATACTAATAAATATAAAGATATACTGATAAATATAAAGACACTAAAGAAACTGAAAACTTTGAAATAATCAATCTACGAGCTCTAAAAAAAGCTTTATGATGCAACAGAAGACTGAAAACGGAAAACTGTGATAAATAGAACGTTTGCATTACGGGGCATGAACTACGCGCTTTGTCGTTTATCAAATGCATCCTTGTTGTTTATCAAATGTTTAACGAGGACAAATAATGCTTGCAAACAACGTTATTCAATCGCCAAAATAAAATTGTATAAGAAACGGACACTGTCGTCACACGACCCACCAGATCTATTTTCTAGTTTTTAATCAGGATCCACTCATTTAGCCATTTCGATTTTGATTAGATTTCTTCATATTTTATCTCACATTTTACGTATGTATTTTACGTGTCAAGTTTCACGACGATTGGTTTTATGCGACAAAATTTTCCTAATTTTCCATACTCTTTTGATGAAATTATTTTTTTTTTAAATTAGATTTGCTTGGCTTTTTTTTTCACAAGCGTGAAATTAGAAATTTTTCCCAGTGTTTGACAAAATTAATGTCAACACGAATTTATAATGTCAACGTGATAACGTCCAAACAATGACGATGACGGGGAGTATCGACGACGAGAGACGATGCGGGCGTGAAGCGAGTTTCAATTTAAAGTTGGACGAACGTGTCGGGATTTCAATGTACAAAATGCGTATGCTAAACTCTTGGCACCCCTCGTGGCGCGCTCCCGGCCTCCCGTTTCTCTCCGTCTTCTCGGGGCTGAGAGCTCCGACAGTCAGGGAGCCGCCCGCGCCGGTGGACAAGGTCCACGCCGACGTTGCGACGGCAAAAATCAGCAAGTCTGATCAGTGGCGCCAAGTAGAAAGGGGCGCAAGTAGAACGCCGCTTGTTGTAGCATGCCCGCACGCGGGACATTCGTCCCGCGTGCACTTTGAAGTTCGTGCCCCAAAGGACAAATTACTTTTTCGAGGCGGTCACCCGGCCTTGAAACCCTTACAGAGCGCCCTTAGATCCCTTTAATGATCGCGGCTGCCGATCGAAGGTAATGCATATCAATGGACGGGACGACGAAACAAACGTCCGATACGCCGATAGTTCCTAATGACTTTCTGAATTTTACTTTTTAAAATGTCTTCCTCCGCGTCGCGACTCGCCTTTTGAGCACACTCACGATATTATTACCGTGATTCAAAGGCTCAATATAAACTTTATAACGTTGACCGGAATTACGGGTGCATCTCAATACAGCTTCAAAGGATATTATTCTTTCGTATACATTTTGTATTTTAGAGAAAGGGAGAGAGAGAGAGAGAGAGAGAGAGAGAGAGAGAGAGAGAGAGAGAGAGAGAGAGAGAGAGAGGGAGAATACAGTCTTTATAATAATATACATATTACAATTTTTAAAAACATACGTCGCTGTTATACATTATATATTTATTTTTGTTGTAAAATGTTACGATTTAAAATATTTATTACTTCTAAAATTATTTCACTATTAGTTTTACTATTAATTATTTTACTATTATATCTCGATAATTTTTTGATATGAAATATTGAAAAAATATTTTTTTAAATTTAATAACAGTTTCTTTGCATAATCTAAAATAAAAGTTCAACTTTCCAAGTCTCATATTTATCTATTCATTGTTGAACCAAACGTATAAAACATATCCGTCTATGTTTGTGCGCATATACGAGTATGTACATATTGAATTGTCAGAAAGACGAAATAGATCGAAAACGACGCATCGATAGTATGACTCTGTCTTAGATCGGCGAGAAGTTTCGCTTCAAGAGTTGGATTACCGCGCGGCTACGGGTGGATTTGAAAATTGTGGGAGAGCCCCCAGGGCTCTTGCGGAGGACGGTGTGGCAGGGTAGAGCGTGATTGATTTTGCATACGACACAGATTGGACAGGTTTGAGAAATTGGACTGGCTTTCTGCCTGGTTTGGCCTCCTATCTCTCTTTCTTCATTGCTCTTGCCTGTTTCTAGTCGTTCTTTCTCTATCTTTCCTTTTCCATCATTTTCCTTCTTGTGCACTATGATACATTCGGGATACATTCGGACCTTGTGTTCGTATATATATGTGTGTGTGTGTGTGTGTGTGTGTGTATTACACATGTGCGTGCATGTAACTCGCATATACTCGCCATATCACCGTGCGTATTTCTACGCGGGTCGAAGAAGGGTTCCCTCTCGTATCTCTTGCAGGGAACGTCGAAGGGGATTGGCCTTGAACGAGCGATTTGTGCGATCTTCGAGGATGTATTTATGAGCATTCTAGCTACCCCCGCCTGAACTTTTATATTACGCTCGCCATTTTAGAGAGTCAGTCTTGCGTGCTGTAAGTTACCGTACACAATACGCGTACACATTTCTGTTATTATTTCTGCATATTATTTCTTAGTTATTCTGTCATTAAATGCTCTTTCGTAGTGATTTTATAAAATGTAATATAAATGTTAACAAAAAATATTTTTGTCAAGAGGTACGATTTTCTTGTTAAATCCATCACGGAAAGAATGGTTTTATTGAAGTGGGTAAAAATTTAATTAGATACAGATCTGAAAATAATATTTTGCTACATAAATGTGGAAGTTGAATGAAAGAAATTATGTAGGATACTTTAGCAAGATGACAATGTAAAAAGTTCCGACGGCCTAGCAATCAGTTTCGGCATCCTACATAATTATTTTGATAATGTAACAAAATTATTTTTTATTAGAGACATCCACCTAAAATTTTATATACTTTATTAAAATATTTTTTCCCACGCATTATAACCCACACATATGTTATTGCAAGAGGATCCTTATTCCTTCTGTATACTTTATAAATCTTTTCATCGAAATATTTACATTACATTGAATATTTTTCGTTTGCTTTGGCGCAAAATGAAAACTATAGTATTGATGAAACTTGAAATTTTTCACGGTAGATGGAAAACGTGCAAAATACGCGTATCTCAAAGCAGTACAACGTGTGATCATGCGGGAAGGCTAAGGAGGGATTGTTGAGCCATCCGGGGCCGCGCTCTCGTCTCTGGCGTTATCCGCCGACGTCGGAGTGGATAACAGGCCGAACGATTTATTCTAAACCTTTATCCGGGGGCGCCCTCCAAATTTATGAAAGAAGACGCCCGTTTAACCGACTCGCTCAGTCATCCCTCACCGCGGTGGTGAAGCTACCCTTCCCTCGCCTGTCTTCCACGCCTCTCTCCGTTACTCTCACGGAGCTCCATCTCGCTTCGGTTTCTCCCTCGGCTTGGCTCGACTCTCCCGCTGTGCTCGCATGTCAGCCCTTTATTTTATACCGAAGCGAGTCAGTCCGATTTGGTCCTAATATTAAAGGGGATGTCTTGGCCTCAGCACGTGATCGGGATGCCAAATCTCTTCGATACGACCGTAATTCTAGTTCTCTTCGAGCTTCGGACAGCTGCGAGTCGTGTCTCTTCTCGATAGTTACATTTTGCATATTAATTAATTGAATCTCAATAACTGTTTCTTTATCAATTAATTAGCCGAAAGCAGCTATATATAAAAAGAATAAGAAATGGGTCTAATTGTAAAGGAAAATTTCAACTATTGTAGGGGAAAAAAAAGGATACCAAAGCAGTTAAATCCCTACTGTTACAAATACTGTTACATATATCCATTAGACATATTTAATAAAAATGGCAGACGCTTGTTTCAAAATCAGCTAAAATCTTTTTTTCAGCTGCAAAACCAGTCAAGTGCATTCTATTTTAATAAATAGAAATCTTTTTTAATACATAAAAATTTTCTTATGCCGGTATCGTATACGTTTTATTAATTAAACAAATTTTTCTTAATTAAAAAAAAAAGATTTTATTGATAACTTGAAAGAGAAAGATTATATAAGTTTATTCGCTCTTGCCACGAATATTTCAAATAGAAAAAACGGGAAATTTTACAAATAGCTATTCAATTGTTCTATACATTGTAAGTATGAGAAGTGTGTGGAGTTTTTATAAATATACACATTACTTTGTAATAACTGTGGATATTCATACAAATATAGATGTACGTCAAAAATATCTAGGCAGAAAAATAAGAACAAAATTAAGATACACTGTTACGCATAGAAAATGGAATATTTGCTCTAGTTTTAACTTATACACGACATTGATATATATTTTGTTGTTGCGTGTTGAATTGGACACAATTAAGCTAAATTTATGTTTTCTCTCAAGAAATCGTATTGATTTTACAAAATGACACTTCACTTGCAATTTCCTAATAATAGCGTTCAAAATAATGGATTCGAACGTTGTCATTTGATGCTCACGAGTGAATTATTCGCTCGTTTTATAATTCAAAATAGCACACTTAGGTTCAACTTTAGTCACGACACATCTGTCTTTCTGCATTACAAAACTCATTCTTAATATAGTACAAGCAATTAAAGAAATGCTTTGCTTATAAATTAGGATTGACGTCGGAGGAATAATTTCACGTAATTCGTTTCCTTTTGCAGTTATACCTGAGCAAAACACGGCAGGCTGCCTTCTCGGCCGATTTGCAGCAGTCTCTCTCACGAACAGTCAGTCCAACCGCACGCCAGCAAGGTAAGTTTTTACATTACTATTTTTGCATCACGCGAGCCATTTTCCTTCCCTCTCTCTTTCTTTTCTCTTCCCATATTTTTGCAACCAAATGAAAAATGATTTATCGCGCAATATCATTCGGCTTACGCTAGAATGGTTCTAGCTGTTTTTTCATCGCTCTTGCGAAACTTTCGGTGCACATGCAATTTCATTAATATCCGAACGATCTATTTTCCTTTCTCGTGAGAGAATGTATCCCAATGTACCGAGAAGATAGACGCAAGGAAATATTGAATAGACGTAAAGCTTTAGTAAGGACTTTAATTTATATACATATGATATAAATAAAATATGATATTTATATAACATATAAAGAGTAAAAAAAATATATTGTTTATTGATAAATATTTATATAATATGTATATACTCCGTTTCTCTATTAAAGTCATTGTTTTATAATAACATTTCGGATCTTGGTAGTCCATTGGTGGCGAATTTTAACTTAGAAATCTTCAGGACGTTCGCCGCTATACAGTGAATCTATTCAAAACGGATTATATGAAAAATTAACAAAATGGCAGCTATTATTGCAGTTTCTATTAGCAAAAAATTCAGTTATATTTTTGTACTCATTGTACGTTGTATAAATGTCACTCAAAACTTTCGTACGTTTAGTTCAGAATAAAAAATTGTCAAAAACAAGCAGTCTGAATCTCCAGTTTCCTTAATAATTTACGAGCTAATTCATATTGAAAGCTATTTATATTAAAACAATCTCTTTTGTATGATATCTAATAATATCTTCTATCAAAGGAAATGTTTTGAAACGTTCAATATTAGAATTATCTACTGTTCGTTAAACATGATCATTGTGCTATTTTTTATGTCTTACGATTTTCATAGGCACAAAATGTAACAATAAGAACGATGGTCGAAAGCAGTTACGGCACTTTTGCCACATATAGTCCCTCAATACAGAATCGCATAAATAATTTAACAATATGGGAAATTGATATGATTGTGTTTCTTAAGAATAACGTCCTGCTTCCAATAAGACGCGCGTGGAATTTAAGAACATCACGACAATGGTATAGGAGCTTTCGTCCGGAGCAAAAATCGTGTTGAAAGTGATCTCTCATAATAATGGCACTTACTGCGATCAAACTTTCTTCTTTTCCCTTCATAGAAAATAGTTGTGAACGAGAACGCCGCCGTCTATATGCGGGTCGCGATTATAAGCGGTCTCGATCACTTTCTGTCTATGCGTTATGGTTGAATTATCGTCGACTTATTCCCCTTACCAGTCACAAAGAGATTTATGTCCAGAACTTTTGAGTTTTTATGTAGATTATAATTATGAATAATTATTTTTGTTTATTTGGAGACACGGTAATGTCTTAGCGCTAAGATAAGTACAGCGACATTTATTACTCTATATATATACATATATACTAAAATGTTCAGACCATAATTTATTCTAAATAAGCGAAACTGGATTTGCTTCAAAGAATTTGTAATTTTAAATAAAGATTGAAGTTGAATTAAATGTAAATATATATATATATATATATATTGGTATATATGTATTTGAATGTAAAAGATACAATCAAAGGTCTAGTTTTCCGGTTAAAGCACTGCCCCAATCAATTTTCGCAAATCTACTTTACTACTGAATTCCGATGTACATTGGAGCTTCAAGAACCGGTCAAACGGCCGGGTCTGACGCTTTCGGAAAGACGAACGGCGGACTCAAGTACTGGAAACAAAAGCCCGGCGTTTCAATTAGGCCCTTTATTAGTTAGCGATAATAGGGCCAGCAGCGGTCGAACCGACATTGCCCTGACCGGATGGCTTGGTTGGCGCTTAACCGGAGGTTACGGTGGCTTGTTTGCGCGGATCCGGCTCTTACGATATTAAGGGCTGACTAGGCAGTCTCTCTCTCTCTCTCTCTCTCTCTCTACCTCCTTGATGTTTAGAGAATCACCCTTACCGGCGCTCTCGTGACCCTTTCCTGAATCCAGACTGGGAGAGATCCTCGCCGCCGGAATCCTTGCGCCTTGCTGGGCCATGCCGATTGATTTTCTTGCGCGTTGTACAAGTTTACGAGGATAAGCCGAGGAGAAGTCGTGAGACGCGGCTCTCCGACGGTGGACGGGTGGAGCGATGAGGCGCGTAAGAGCAAGGAGAACCAGGGGCGTAGCGGTCGAGCCAAGAGGAGGAATTTGTCGCTGAGGAGAGCAGGTCGCAGCAGTCGCCTGCGGCGAGCCGCAACGATCCTCTCGTCCCGTCTGTCGCACTTTACCGCACGATACCGGAGAGAGAGTGAAAGAGAAAGGGGGAGAGAGAGAGAGAGAGAGAGAGAGAGAGAGAGAGCGCAGCTTGCTACTGCTATTGCTACGGGACCGTTCGAAACTAACTTAGGGCCGCCGAAACTACACTCGCTTCCCGCGCCGCAAAACGAGCGGCACGGCTAACAAGGCGGGCGCACGAAATACATTGAATATTGATTCGTGAACGAGAGACGACGGGACGAAGCACTCTGAAAATATTTCTTCAACATTTAGCCCAGCGTATGACAAACAATAAGTGAGATCCATGCGGCCGGAAGTTGCAGTCGCTAATGTTATTTCGTGTTATGGGATAATTTATATTGTACATTTGGACGTGACATCGCTATCGTATATCTGTTGTCTCAGCTTCAAATGGCAGTATACGTTAATATTAACCTTTGGAGCTGACATTCTAAAATTGTCTTTGATTTATCAAAATGCCGTAGTGACTTTATTTCAGTTTCAGAACGATTTCCGGTTTAATCTGATCCATCACGACGATCTATTACTAACGAGTATATCACAATAATGACTGATTCTCTGTATTGTCGCATACGACTGTCCACGTGGCCTGGCAAATTGCATTTATGTCACGTCGTCTCGATCCATATAGCCCGCAAAATCGGTTTTAGTGTAAACGAGGAAAGCCGGGCTAAGGGTCTCTGACTGGGTGGGAAGGTGCGGCGGGAGAATGGCTGCGACATCTTGTATTGTCAGATCCCAACGCGACAAATTCATAATTGCGTTAATGCGGGTACGGCGAGGGTTCTTGCCGCAACCACCGCAAGGCGCGCCATGGCGTCTTGCGGCTGTAAGAGAGGACGATATAGCGCACACAGAAGGGGCACGGAGGGTCGAGCGGCGGGAGGCGGTGGAGTCGTGGAGAGCGGTCCCTTCTGGTACGGGCTCGTTAATCTTCGGAGGATTACGCCAAGGAAGTATCGCCATTGTGCCAGGCGCTCCTCTTCGAGTCGATAATTATTAATTAAATTGGCCGAACGGGCCACTCTGCAATTTATCGACTTATCGAGCATGATTTTATGGCGATATATCGTGTTTTTTTTGGAAACCGGTAACAAATATTTTTAATAACTTCCAAATTTATTGGCGGTCAAGAATAACATGTTTTATGTACACATTATACTCGTATTAATATGTATTCATGGTAAAGTCTCACACACTGCTAGATATTAAAGGAACAATAGTAACTCAACCCCTTGAGTTAATAACATTTTGTTATTTTTAACTTGTGTGTGTGTGTGTGTGTGTGTGTGTTAAAATGTAAATCAATTCATTTCTGTGGTTAGTTTCAAAGTAAACATCGCCAATATGAACGTATGCATTTAGAAATAATAAATCAAATTTGTGTCAAATTTAATAATTTTCTTGAGTTAAACTGTTCAACATTTGTTTAAATTGTTTTAAAAATAACTAAAGTCGAGTATAATTTGACATTATGAATTTAATAGTGCACACTCTGAAAGCTTTAGATATATTGTATAATAATTATATTTTACATTGAATTTTTCTCTCTGTTATAATTTATTTTATTGTTTAATATTTTTATTAAAATTAATCCTCAAAACTACAGCTGTGTATATGAAAACTACACTCAAGTTCTAAAGTGTTCTATTTGAAGTGTAGAATGCAAATAAATATCCACCTATTGATAGAGGAAAATTTTGTCTTTTTTACCTACAATTTAGACCCTCGTAGTACTAATTGTATAGACTGTATATACAAACGTCTAAAATTTTCATAAAACTTTATTATTATTATAATTAATTAATTAATTTATAAAAATTTTATGATTATATAATCATCATATATATTCTATTTCAATCAAATACACGGTTAATAAAATGCAGATGCTCTTAGGATATTGCAATCAGACAGAAAAATTCGGTTTGTATTTCTCATATCTGACAGGGTTAAACCAATAGTCTGGTCGTTCCCGGAGCGTTGCCGGGAAACGTGCCGACCAATACTAAATGAAAGGCCAGCCACGAAAAAGCTCAACTTGTAGGTGCTTCATTTCAGTTGGCCGTAGACAATTGAATCATCGTCAAATCATAGCGGGAGGGTCATCAAATCTGCACGAACGGGCATGAGAGCGCGACGAGAGAGAAAGGGTTGCGCGCCGGCCGACTCAGTCGGTCGGCCGAGGGTAAAAAGGACGGAATTGCGGAGAAAGCGGGAGAAAACGGCGACGAACGAACGGGCCGAAATAAAACAGTGATATCGAGGCATTTCACGCACGAGCGAGAGCGTTTAGCAGATTCAACGTGCGTGCCGGCACTCCGCCGTTTCCCTGCCGCGGTGAAACGTCCCTCTCTCGTTTCCCTCCCACCTCGATGGGAGCACTCTCATTCTCTCCATTTCTCTCGCTCCTCTTAGCGCGCTCTTTACCCTTTTCTCTCTTGCTCTATCACCCTCACCACGGGCCTCGCTGAAAAATACTGCTCTCGCTGACACCTGTGGCTTCGACGTTCTACATATGTGCGCACGTAGCACGTCGAGTTACCACTGTCGATGAGAGAGGAAGAAACGAAGGACGACGAAATTGATAGTGAATGTCGAAAATTCTCATAAAGTCCATCGAGCGTTATGCGAGGCGTGATCGGGTGACGTAACCTATTTTGATTGGCACGATAAGTGTTCAATTCAGCAGCGGTGAAATTGAAACGATTA